AAAGTATGCCAGGGCCGCGGCCGGGACTCGAAGCACAAGCCAGCAGCTCACGCGAAACGCATGAAATTTCACACGGGTTCGGGAGCTGCTCGGCTGGGCTGGTAACGGAACTGCAGAACGGATGAGAAATGTAGCAGTACAGCGCTTTCGCAATCGATGCGGGTTTGAAGATTATGACAATACATATTCGGTGAAAGTGAAATTAGCAGGATTTACAAGAAGAGCTCAAAGTTTTGCACTACTATGTATTGTCACCCGCATCGATTGCGAAAGCGCTGTACTGCTACATTTCTCATCCGTTCTGCAGTTCCGTTACCAGCCGAGCCGAGCAGCTCCCGAACCCGTGTGAAATTTCATGCGTTTCGCGTGAGCTGCTGGCTTGTGCTTCGAGTCCCGGCCGCGGCCCTGGCATACTTTTTTTTTTGATCATCTCCGCTCGAGATAGGAGAGCACCAGGTCGGTGTAGTGGACTCAGACATAGCCCACTCGGCCGAGCGCACTCAGGCGTGAGAAACTGAGCCTGCGATCTCAGGTTCGGCTCGCACCGACTGCCGATACTTTTATCCCACCATTTACCACTCTGACTTGGTAGTCACGGGTTCAACACCTACCAGCGAATATAGGAGAATTTCATTTATCATTTCGTGTTGTATTTCGCCCAGTCTGAGAAAGACTAAAATCGGGGTCTGTACATACGCACTACAAGAGGTGCTATTAGCCGAGCTCACTAAGTGGAATGCTATGCACGCGAGTGGCGGCCTCTTGTCCTGGGTTTGATACCCAGAAAGGTCCGCCATTTTATCCATCTCTTTATGGCGCGTACGTATAAGGGACACGGAGGCGGTGGTAGGAACCCCACCTGCTATCTCTATTTCTTATATTGTCTTATAATCGTTTTGGTTTCATTCTCTAATGGCACCGGGAGCCATTACTCGCAGTTCGTAGTTGGTCCCTGTGGGTGGGTGGTCTAAGGTGCGTAAATGATGCACAAGAGGACGCTGGTTCTAGACCCAGTGGCCGCCTCCATTTTTTTTCTTTTTTCGTTTCCTTCTAAATGCATGGTAGCACCGGGATCTGTGCTGACGTTCCTAAACACCTCCGGACAGCCGCGACCACCAAGGCGTTGATCGGCTGGCCACGGTGCCCGGGTTCGATTTCTGTCAGAGATCGCTCTTTTGTTTACGAATTCTTCGCTCGGCCGAAGTCAAGGCGCCCGGCGAGTTTCGCATTCCAGTCCCGGAAGGGAACGGAACGCTGTTCACCCACTTTAGTTTTTTGGGGGCATCTACGGTAGCATCGACGTCTCCAACACCGCCTCCGATGCAGCACGCACGGCCGAGCGCATACCACATCGCGGTCAGGCGGCCTCTAGTATCGGGTTCGATTCCCGGCAAAGTGCCCCGCTCCCAAACTTCTTTTTATGTTTAAATAGTGCCAAAGCGGAGACCAGGACGCAGCACGTTCCAAATTGTTCGTAGTCGTCACCTTTTAGTCCATGTCCAGTCCATGTCAGTCCCATGTCCAGTCCATGTCTCTTACATATTCTATTGCTAATGTATAATGGTTGTGGGACGTCGATGCTACCGTAAATCCGAATTAAAAACTGAAGTGCGTGAAAATCGTTCTACTCCCTTCCGAGACTAGAATGCGAAACTCGCCGGGCGCCTCGACTTCGGCAGAGCGAAGAATTCGTAAACAAAAGAGCGATCTCCGACGGGAATCGAACCCGGGCCCTGTGGCCACCCGATCAACGCCTTAGTGGTCGTGGCTGTCCGTAGGTGTTGGGGAACGTCAGCACAGATCCCGGTGCTGGCATGCATTTAAAAGGAAACGAAAAAATAAAAAAATGGAGGTGGTCGCTGCGTCTAGAACCAGCGTCCTCTTGTGCATCATTTACGCACCTTAGACCACGCACCCACAGGGACCGACTTCGAACTGTGAGTAATGGCTCCGGTGCTATTAGCGAATGAAACCGAAACGATTATAAGACAATAAAAGCAATCGAGGTACACTGTTAAAAATTCCTACAGGAAATTCTACAGTTTGCCCTGTCATTTTGTCGCTAGGGTCGTGACTGTAATTTTTGATTTCAGTCCACTCTGTACAGGATGTACTGTAACTTCGCAAACCGCCTTTTTGGTCAACACAGCACTTGACTTCAACACTGAAGTACAGCCCATAACATAACAGTCTGGCCTGTACATAAAATATACAGGACGGAATGTAGTCAAACTGTAATTCCTTACAGCATTTTTAACAGTGTAGCCGGTGGGGTTC